ATATTTCTTAGCCACTCAACTTCTTGGGATAACCCCATTATCTTTCATAAGAGGCAGTTAGCCCTTTTCTACTCAAGTTAGGGATCTCTTTAGGTTTACCTCAACATAGACCATCCCAATTGAGTATAAGTCACCAAGAGCACTTTGTACTCATGTCATTATGCGGTGAATTCATTAGGTTTGTCTCAACAAAACCACCCTTTCTCAAAGAGTTATGAATTCATTAAGAGCTGTAGCTCAACCTCACAAGTACACGCACTGTCGGAATGACCAACTAGTGTACTATTTTGTAACTCTTTTCATGGCTTCGTTTGACCACAGGAGTGGGATCCACCATGAATTCATTACCACTTGGACTTTAAGTCCTTCCAATGAGTCAGCGACTAAGCCTCATAATTAGCCCTCAAGTAAGTTGATTCTCTTGACCAAACTTACATGCACTTTGACGAGTACTTTGTTTACTCGTAAATAATCCCCTGATATTTTCATGTTTAACATGAAATATTCTCTTTCATCATTATTCTCAATACCACAGAGAAACTTTTGATGAGAATATAATGAGTGTATTACCCCCACAATGCAACACTTACAAATATTTGTTGTCAAATGTATTTGATCTCTTACCCAGACTGATCTTTGGTGCCCAATATTAGCTCCTTTGTAGACTGAGTTTTGCCGATTTGCTTTGTGGAGCATTATAGAACCTTCGCACTCTGCCTGATACATGCTCAACAGTTGAATATATTTCAACAAACTTGGTTATCTCAATTGATCACAATTACCCTTTAATTAGGAATTATAGGTATTTCAATATGACTCAAACAAGAGTTTAAACAATATATATATATATATATATATATATATATATACAAACTCTCATTGTTAGTAAGCCATAGAAATAATGTTGTCCACATGCTACATCAAGTTGAACAACATAATCACAAATTTCACATCATATTCTTATAAGAAATTAATGTTATACACAAGGAATATGTTCGAGTTCATATTTATTTGGAAATATCTCTCAACAATGAGACTTCAGAGTTGCCACTTGCACAATTTTTCATTCCCTTGAGAAAATTAAAACTCATATAAAGCATTCATATGATGCAGATCAATATTACTGTTGCAGTACTTCAACAATTTCTATTGCAAGGCTTTGATTAACAACATATGAGAGTCAACCTCATTTCAGGTGAAGATCAAGTGGCGCTCTAACTAGCCTGCATGATCAACACCCTACTTCTTAAAACTCCCAGGTCGAGTGGTGAAACCGAAGTTTTCTTAAAAACCATCTTCCTAGACAGAGTATTCAAGAACAATGACTTTTCCATGCTACCACCATAAATGTGAGTAAAGCCTTTGAAATTAAACTCAGTACACAATTTAAATATTTAAGATTATGTGACTGTAATATAGTATGTATCTCATCAAATAGTGCAATGTTTGTAACATATCCACAATAATAACACATAATGTTGTAAATTGACATGTGCATAAGTACACAATTTATAGGCTTTATATCATATTGATGATTTAATCACTTAGTAGTGTTAAATCATCACTTCTAACACAACAAATTCATAAAGCTCATACATGTGAATAATAACAATTCACTTATCTTTGTGTACACCGCTGTTAATTTTCTATATAATATTCAAAGCACTCACCATACAGAATATGGAATGGTGATTTCTAAAATGCTTGTCACAATATATATTTCACGTTTAACATGCTCTCAAAAGATAATAATCAATTGAATGCAAAGATATAGGCAAACCATCTTCTAAATTATGTCATTATGATAATTTTAAGGGACAGGTCAATGCCAATAATATATGACTACTAATGTTCAAGACAATCATTTGCATATGATAGTCTATTATCATATAAGTATGCATGTGTCATATTAAAATATGAGGAGGCAAATCTCATTGGCAAGACTGAGCTATGCAAAGAGTATACATGAATAATGACTCTTTAACTCCATGCTACAAACAAATTGCAACCAAAGACTTTGATATATACTTATTATATCTTTATACAAATAATTTTAGTACATGATTCAAATCTTTAAAACCATGATACAAAGATATATAATTATATATGCATCTCATATTCAATTTGAAGGAACAAATAGCCCCCACTAATAAATTAATCATGCATCACTTAAATTTATGTTCCCCAATTATCTAACGCATAATCACTTTTTGATCTCATTTTGTGAAGAACATCATATATAACATTTTCGAACAACTCTAAATCCAAGAAACACATGCCTACACATAGACATAACAATATGCATGAGATATTGATCATCAAGATTAACCATTTATATCTTGGATGTTAAGAGTGAGAGAGCATGTTTAAGTAATATAATGATCTTGCTATTTCAATTCTTCAAGACCAATATGCTATAAAAGATAATTATGTGATATATCATCATCATAACTATAACTGCTTACACTTTAAATTCAAGAGCACAAGATTTAATAATGACTAAGTCATAATATATATACAGAATATTAATAATTTTGTGTGCTGAAAAGCATGTAGCTAATTATCTCTTAGTTATGTCAATCCTCATGTTGTGCACACTGAAGAGAACGAACCAAAAGATGAAATATAATGTGGTGATGACGCATGAAAATATTTTTAACACCCATTAAAAGAATTAACACATACACATGTATTAAAGAAATAATACTTAGCTCAGAGTTTGACAGACTTGAAGTGGATCATCATCTTAATCGCCTACCGGCGGTAGTTCAGACCGGTGAGAGGTTCGAGCTTGGCGAGGTCAGAGGAGGTTTAGATCCGAAGGTCGACATGATAACTTAAGCACAAATATTTGCTTTTAACTGTTGGAAAATTGGTCAGAATATGTCGTAGATCTAGGCTACTGTTTATATAGGCTGAGTATAGAAGAAATCCTGAATCAATCGGTGACTTGCGCAAGACACTACCTTAAAAGCAAATATTGCTCGGAGACGGTAATAGTCTTACCGGTTGCTTTCGACCAGTTAACACCGAAGCTCAGGATTGCAGAAGAGAAGAAGAGAAGAATGTATTCAGCGTTTAGAGCTCAGGAGGAGCAGGGTATTTATAGCTATAGAATTACCTGCTCCTCCTCTCTTAGCCATTCAATTTCCACTAAAATAGGAGAGTGGTGGAGAAGACCACATTTGTAGGAGTTAAACCTCACTCCAAAATTTCTTGTGGATGGAAATAATCCACACTTATTTGGGTGTTATTCCCAACACACACACACGTATATATATATGCATTGTGTTGGAATGGGTATTTAATTATGCTGCATGGCTTGCTATGCTTTGGAGTATGGAATCTCTGATCTTTATTTATGAATGGTTGGTAGTTAGTTGTTAGATGTGAACTGTCGCTCTACTCAAATGAAGGTTTTAGTATTCTAGAATAAACACAACAAAAATTTTCCGTATTTTTTGGTCATATTTTACTTAAATTGCATTTTATCCACATTACATTTTTACCATAAAATTAGTCCTAGAAATACCATTCTTAGTATAGTCATTTGCTACTTCTAGTTCATCACTTAAGAATTATATATAATACTTAGCTTCTATCTAGAGTGAGAACACCTATTAATGTAAGAACATGTAGAGTTCTTCAGTAATGCATATATGATATGTTCAACATTAATGAACAATACGGCTCCAAACATGGCTGAAAAACATGCTGGAATGAGATTATACTGTGCATTCGTGTAGTAATTTCCATGCATTCTTATAGAACTTATCGTGATGTGATGCATCGTGTAGTAGCCGTAGGGCTGGAATAGTTATTGTGCTTTGATGAAGAACTTATCGTGCATTATTGAAGAAGTCCGCATGTTCTCACGTTAAGAGTTGTTCTCACATGAATCAGTCGTTATATTATAGACCGCGGTACATGTGCACCGCGGTAAAAAACGACGCCGTTTCTTTAAGTAAAGAAACGGCCCGCCGTTAGAGTTAACGGAGTCCGCTTGTTTTAAAGCTACGAAATTGAAAACATTTGTTCATTCATGTAAAAAAGAAAAAATAAATAAAAAATAATATATATATATATATATATATATATATATATATATATATATATATATATATATATATATAGAATCGCACTCAGATGCGAATGCTTCGCCCAGACGCGAAATAGGAATGAATTCTGTTCGTCCACGTGTCCAGATCTAATGAATGAGAAACATTGATTTTTTTAAAAAACGCGGTGGCATTTTCGTAAATAATTGAACATCGAAGTGCAAGTAAAATGTATTACAAGTGCATGTAAAATGTATTATAGGTGCAAGTAAAAATTTACACTGAGCATCAATACTTAGTTGCACCTATAGTTCTAAGTAGTTGCACCTATAGTTCTATGTAGTTGCACACATAGTTATAAGTAGTTGCACCTAGGTGTATGAATGTTTGCGAGTGGTTTTCAGGGGTATTACTACCCGCTGAACTCAGATCAATGAATGTTAACAAGGCAAAATTACATGCACATATAGGTGAAAGTAGGTGCACCTATAGTTATAAGTAGTTGCATACTTGCACCAATAGTTATAAATAGTTGCACATATAGTTATAAGCACACCCAGGTGCATGAATGTTTGCGGAAAGTGAATGCTAACAAGGCAAAATTACATGCACTTATAGGTGAAAGTAGGTGCACCTATAGTTATAAGTAGTTGCACCTATAGTTATAAATAGTTGCACAGATAGTTATAAGCACACCCAGGTGCATGAATGTTTGCGGAAAGTGAATGCTAACAAGGCAAAATTACATGCACTTATAGGTGAAAGTAAGTGCACTTGTAAGTGATTTTACTTGCACTTCGATGTTCAATTATTTATGAAAATTCCACCGCATTTTTTTTTTAAAGTTATTAGATCTGGACACGTGTCGCGCGCTGATTCGTTCTCATTTCCCTCCTGAGCACTTATTCGCACCTGAGTGCATCCCTATATATATATTCCTTACCTTTTGTTCGTCGAGACTGAACACGAGCTCTTCAACGTCTCTGGTGGCTCTTGTCGAAGATGGAAGAAGTTAGCAGCAAACCGATCTACTGCCCTTCAATGTCTCCGGTGGAGGTTGTCGAAAATGGAAAGAGTAATACCAAATTGATGTCTCCAGTGAAACTTGTTGAGGATGGAAGGAGTATTTATTATATTAATGGTAGTAACATGTATTTATTGTATTTTAACTTTGACGTCTAAGGTTCAAAACTTGTGCACACTATTATTATTCCATAATATGTCTATTTTTACCTGTGCGTTGCACGTAAAAGATTTGTTATAATCTTAAAATTATAACAACGAATATTATATAGTGCAATTGATGAAATGGGTTGTATCGATTATGGTTTTTTTTTTTTTTTTTTTTTTTTTTTTTTTTTTTTATGTTATCCTTGCTTGAATTCGAGCAAATAATTGTCCAATTATCCGTGCGATATGCGTGATGTGTGCGTGCGTGCGATGTGCGTGCAGTGTGCGTGCGATGTGCGTGCGATGTGCAGATATTTTTTTTTTGTTATATATTTAGATAATAAAATTACGGTATTAGTTTTATAGATTTTAGTTTTGATAGGGCCTTATTTATTTATCTGAACAGGGCCACAAAAATCTAAAAACCGGCCCTGTATATAGGGAAGGGTTCAGGTGCGGGGAAGAATTTCCATGCGGTTGTGCGGTTGATGCACCTTAAGCACACAAACAAAGAACCTTAAGAACACAAACCACTCACCTTAAGTACACAAACCACGCACCTTAAGTATACAACAAAGCACCTTAAGAATACAAACCACGCACCCAAGGTTTTAAAATGTCTCACCTTAAGTTTCACACAACTGATGCATCTTATTAAGCATACAAATCACCCACCTTGAGAAGGAAAACAATGCACCATAAGAAGGAAAATCACGCATCTTAAGTTTCAACAACTACTCACATTAAACACAAAACACACGCACCTTAAGCGCAAAACCTATGTACCTTAAGCACAAAACCCACGCACCTTAAGCACAAAACTCACGCACCTTAAGAAGGAAACCTACGCACCTTAAGTTTCAACAACTACTCACATTAAGCACACAATCCACGCACCTTAAGCACAAAACCCATGCACCTTAAGTATAAAACTCACGCACCTTAAGTACAAAATCCACGCACCTTAAATTTGACCTAGATGCAAAAATTACCAAATTGTCACTGCGTTTTTATTTTTGTTTTTTTTTTTTTTTTTTTAAATTTTAGTAATCCTGGACGTTGATTTAAGTAAGATCAATGGCTCAGATTTAATCGCACATGGACATACCAACCGCATTTGAACATATATAAATATATATATATATATATATATATATATATATATATATATATATATATATGTGTGTGTGTGTGTGTGTGTGTGTGTGTGTGTGTGTGTGTGTGTGTGTGTGTGAGAGAGAGAGAGAGAGAGAGAGAGAGAGAGAGAGAGAGAGACATTTTCGTAAATAATTGAACATCAAAGTGCAAGTAAAATGTATTACAAGTGCAAGTAGCAATTTCATATAGTGTACCTCAGTGCAAGTAAAATGTATTATAAGGGGTTAATTCCACCAAAGGTCCTTTGTCTTTGGTGGCAATTCCAAATTTAGTTCCAGACTATTGTTTGTGTCATTTTACATCCAAAACTATCATTTTTGTGGACACTTTTAGTCCTTCTTATGACTTTTTTTTTTTATTTTTAGTAAGGGCATTTTTGTCTCTTCATATTTTTCTTTTGTTATTTTTCCAGTTGCAACCGGTTTAATTGGTTTAGGACTTTACTAAATATCGGTTGAAAAATATGGTTACTAAAAATCAGAGGTTATCTAAAGTTCTAAACCAATTAAACCGGTTGAAACCGGAAAAATAATAAAATAAAAATATGAAGAGACAAAAATGCCCTTACTAAAAATAGAGAAAGTCATGAGAAGGACTAAAAGTGTCCAAAAAACGATAGTCTAAGATGTAAAATGGCAAAAACAATAGTCTGGGACTAAATTTGGAATTGCCACCAAAGACAAGGGACCTATAGTGGAATTAACTCTATTACAAGTGCATGTAAAATGTATTACAGGTGCAAGTAAAATTTATATTGAGCATCAATACAAAGTGCACCTAACGTTATACCTAGATGCACCTATAGTTATAAGTAGTTGAACTTAAGTGCACGAATGTTAACAAGGTAAAATTACTTACACTTGTAAGTGAAAATAGGTGCACTTGTAAGTGATTTTACTTGCATTTTTTCCTTGCAAATGTGTACCAGCTATATGCACTTATAACACATTTACTTGCACCAAAGTTTGAGGTACGAAAATGTCACCGCATCGTTTTTTAAAAATTGCATCTAATTCGTTGATCTGGACACGTGAACAATTATAAATAGTTCTTATTTCTCTCCTGGACAACCGTTCTCACTTGAGGGTGCCCATATATATATATATATATATATATATATATATATATATATATATATATATATATATATATATATATATATATATATATATATATATATATATATATATATATATATATATATATATATATATATATATATATATATATATATATATATGTATGGGATCAAATGCGGCAAGCTTCGCAGGCAGTAGTGCTGATTCATCTGGCCCGTCTATCTAAAGCATGATCAAAGGCTGAAATTCCATAAAAATGAGAAAAACGCGGTGAAAATTTTGTAATTTTTTGTAATCATAGTTGGATTGACGGTGCATTTGGACTGCTTTACCGTGCATTTAAGAATATTTGATAGTGCATTTTGAAATGCTTGAAGGCGCATTTAGAAACTCTTGTGATGACACGTGGGATATGATGAAGGTAATGAGAGTTAAGTAGTGCCTTCTATGCACTTAAAGCATTTCCAAATGCACTGATAATTATTTTATAAAAAGAAATTTATTTGATTAAAAGCCATTTTTAGTTACGGAAGCAAAACAAAACAAGGAAAAAGGATGCTATTGTCACGTTTAGATAACTACTTATATCCAAATGCACACGCTATAAACAACACTACTAAAAACAACTCAAAACTAATAATGGCTCTATTAACTGAAATAATACAATTGTTTAGAAACAACTTTTAGATTTTCTAACAAAATAAAACTCCAAAGTTCTAAACTAAAAAAATGATTCTCTCTCATGCTCAATGCTCCAAATGTCACGCAACAACACTTACAAAAGAACTAAGGAAAGAACAAACTCAGCATAAAATTGTTAAGACTTACTCCACATTGTAAAACATTTCAATTCGCACATAGCAAATAACACATAAGGACACATAATTGACACATAATATAACCCCTTAGGACCTTATCATTATTATTTCCAATTTGCACATGCATGACATGAAACTAAACATTCTAAATATATGCCAAGTATGCGAATTCACCATCATATAAGATCAGTACTCAACACTACATTAATATGATATATGTACAACACATGATAACATACTATAAATTACTCTACTAACAACATATAACACATATGAAGTAATTAATAGTATGAAACACATTGTTCACAGATTTTCATTTTTAATTACTTGAATACAAAATATCACATTAAATTTTCCTTTCTTTTTCCCATATCAATAACCATAACCATATAAGTATATATCTCACACCATTATATAAGGTTTCATAAAACATAAGTTTATGACTTACACCAAAATAATATTTTATAGTACATAACTAGTATTTGTCCCGTGCGATGCACAAAAAATATGTTATAAAAAATATCCTATATGAGGTTTATTCATATACAGGCCCGACCCTGGGCAAGTGCAGGCTGGGCTCTTGCCCAGGGCCCACCTCTACCTAGGGGCCCATAGTCCATAGCTATATAGTATATAATATATATATATATATATATATATATATATATATATATATATATATATATATATATTATAAAAAAAATTCTTTTATTGTTTTGCGGTTTTGGTCGCGTTTCTGCGACTTTACGAGGAAGCCGCGAGGAGACTGGAGAAGCGCAGACTCTCTCGCATCCACTCCAAGCGTCGCCGACTCGCCAGTTGCCAGGCCTTCTCAACGGTAAAAATGGAGTCATCAAATTCCCTCAGAAGTTAAAAACAAACTCAATCTGCAAATCCACTTATCCACCATTCACCATGGACGACAATTAATTTCACCGGCCCTATCTGAGTATCTACAAATCTGCTTTCAAATACAATTTACCACCCGGCCTTCCGCAATCCACATTCGTCTAATCACCATTCACTTTTATGGGCTCACGGCCTAATGCTCTAATTTGCAAAGGTATTTTTTGATTTCAAGTTTTATTGCCCTAAGTGCTTAGTATGTGAATTATGAATTTAGGATTTGTGATATGTTTACTGTAATTAGAATTAGGATTTTTGACAAATTTTTTACTGTAATATTCAATTAAATGCAGTGATTTGTTTACTGTATTCAATTTTTTTATTTTTTTTTTATTTTAATTTTTTTTTGAGAATTCAATTCTGCAGATCCTAATTCAATTATGTGTATTAGGATTTGCAGACTGAATTGCTACTATATTCCATCCTAATTTTGGATATTCTGTTTTACTTTTTACTCTAATTAGAATTAGAATTACTGTAGAATTAGAACCTAAGTATAAGACTTGTAATTGACATATTATGCAATTGTTTACTTAATAAAAACAAATTTAAGTTGTTGTAGGAGGAGAAAGTATTGCATTCTCACAAGGAAATATATTCAACTGATTCACAGGTGCTTTTTTTTTTTTTTTTTTTTTTTTTTTTTTTTGGTTAAGATCAATTTTATAATAATTTTTGTTAATATTCTTGAGTTTGTTAAAGTTGCAGATTGCTAGCAAACGGTTTCTATTGCTTATCGGATTCTGTTGACTATAAGTAGCTATCTTAAACAATATTAGTCTTGAAGAGGTTATTGATGACTTTGCATCTAGGAAAGCTCATAGAAGCTTTGTATTTGTATTTGACATTTAAAATGTAAAAAATATCAAACTTACCTTGATTGTACTCGTATATGACATTTAAAATCTAGTTTTAAAAATTTATGTTAACTTCTAAATATCGTATTGGGGCCCATTTTCTTAACTTGCCCCGGGCCTATAAAACTATAAGACCGGCCCTGTTCATATATAAAATTTTTGTTATTTAATAATTATTATGTGTGAATTCCTATGATAAAATTATGAACATAAATATATTTACAATTAAAATAATATTTAAGGTGGGCGATTACTACAAATCTTAAACTAAATTAAAAATTTAGTACATAGTATTTAATATTACAAATTTTTAAGAACTTAGTAAACTACAATAGTAATTGAATTACAATTTTAGAGTCACCACGAATCAAAATTTGTAGACCTTTGAGATTTCTAACTCTAGATGTAGCAACATACAATTGACCTTTAAAGACCAAACAATAACAATTTTAGTTTGAACATTGAGTTTTTCTCCCAAATACTATCGAATTAAGTGTGTAATCAATAAAAGATGAGAACTAATAATTTGAGAATATAATCTTAATGTTACTAAGCCTACTTCACGTCAATTAAGTTGGAGAGTGTTATTGGATAGTATCCGATGTATCCACGAACAACACATCTTTGTCTCTTAAATATTAGGCCACCTAGCTATGCTATATATTAATTTCAAACTTATGAACTTTGGGGTTGCACGTGTGGCGTGCATGCATGCTTCTTAAAGCCATATGATCTTGTGAAAATTAAATGTTGTTAATACCAACATTTAACCATTAATATCAATATTTAATTTTCACAAGATCATATATATGTCTTTATTATAATTAAGATACGTATAATATTCCACCACAAAACAATTTTCACACTTAACCATCTTTAACCATTTTGTGTAGGAGGAGGAAAAATACCTAGCAAGAGTCATTACTTCGGTCCCAGTGACCAAAATATCAATCGGAGACCCATACAGTTGACCCGACATTAATTCCTTAAGTATGCATACCCCCAATGGGAAACCTACACTAATGGGTAGTGACAGGATAATGGTGCTGGCACCCGACCCGGATCATAAGCAGCATCTGACCCGGCACCACATGGAATGGTGCTGGCACCCGACCCGGATCATAAGCAGCATCTGACCCGACACCACATGGAAACCCAACGGGCAAAACTCCAACGGGCAGAATTCCAACGGCTGTCACCTTTACTGCCATTGAAGCCACCATTGATGTCACCATTGATGAGAGAGAATTAAAGGCTTAGCTCTCCATTTATGCTTCATGTTGTTACTGTTAGCAGCTTTTGTATAAGTAGGGGCTCCCCTCAGCTTGGAGGGGGACGTTCAATACTTTGGACAAAGACACTGTATTTTCTATACTGAGACAAAATCAATACAACTATTGTTACTCTCTCACATAGCGTTATTATAATATTATTATTACCGGTAACATTATTACCGTCATTGGTGCTTTCATTGAGAGCCTGAGTCCAATACTCAAGCAGGCTACGACACACACAACTCTTTTCCTCTTTCAACAGCAAGCTTGAAAGAATGGTGTCCCGCAGCTCCCACGGTTCCCGCAACGTGAACAATGGCAATGCCTCAGGTGACCTCCGGGACCAACTCACCAACAATCGCGGAGAGGACCTCCAAGAACAGCTCAACAACGGGAGGCCCGGGGACCTTCGAGACCAACTCAACAATGGAGGGGTGAACCAAGCCGTGAACCTCTAGGCGACCGCCGATGTCATTCAGCAAGCAGTGACGGAGGCGCTAAATCAGGTGGCGGTGGGACTGTAAGGCCAAGTGCCCCCGCGGCCCCAGGAAATAGGGGTGGAGACCCAAAGAAGTGGACCGGCCAGACGACAACTAGGCCCTTCCCAATCTGCACCAGAACGATTGGGACAGAGGGCGCCCGTGCGGCAAAGGTTAGGATCACGGGCCGAGGAGTCCTCTACCAGAGGCCCTCGCCAACACGAAAATAGAGAAGCCGAGAGATCACCCACAGATGAGGTGGGCGAGTTTCGGGAGCCGACCCCACGCCAACACGTTGATGAGTCGGCCTTACGTCGACACTTGGAGGAGCGACGCGTCGAAGAGCCGGCTCCGCGTCAGCACTCGGCGGGGAAGTGACGCGTTGATGACTGGGTTCCACACCAACACTTGGAGGAACGGCAGCCGGCCCCACTGTAACACCCCAAATTTTCAAGATATTTAAAACTTATAAAATAAAGGCGAAATCTCATTAAATCCCAAAACGTAATACAAGAGTACGGGGTGCTATGCCACACCTGAACTAGAGAACTCAGGTGCACAGGCTAACTAACGAATATCCTCGATAATGTAAATGCATAAGCATGACACGCAGGCCGAAAGGGAAACTATCTACGTCTACACTCCAATTTCTAGCACGCTCTAGTGACTTATTCTTATGTGCCTGAAAGCCAAATATATCTGTTCAGCGAGAGATGCTGGTAACCCACTCCAACGCGTTGAAATACAATACATATAGATATATATAGATATACGAAAACCATTTTGAACATGAAGATATATCCTACGAACTCTAGCTTTTAAAACAGGGATAGACTCATCAGATAGGGCTAAGCACAGACAGCAGTTAAACCAACATATATAGTTACAAACATGCAAGACAGGTAAAGATAACCATAATTAATGATCATAACCCAACACATGCGATTCCCAGTGTAAATCCCCTAGTCACGTCCCTAAGATACTCAAAACAACAACTCATCCGTATTTCATCACATAGCACACTTTGTTGGCGCCACAGGACCAATCGCATGCCCATACATGAGGGTCAGCGCATATAGCTCTGACACGGCCCCGCAGCACCCTGCCCCGTATCGCAACACGGAGGGGTCGATCGCAACCGACCGACGAACCGCAGCTCATCATAGTTTGATCGCAACCAAACAGTGGACCGCAGCCCAAGAGTATGTCATCTGACCGCAGCCAGGAAATATGAACCGCAGCTCATGTAGAAACGTTTGATCGCAGCCCGAGAGTGTAAATTTGACCGCAGCCAGCTTCTGAACCACAGCTCAGGAATAACCAATCCGATCGCAACCGAATTGGGGTATCATGCACACATAACACATTGCAAGCACATGCAACCCACATTAACACATTGGGAAGGGGGAGAAAACGTATAACAAAACCTATGCGTGATCCTTCACATACTAAGAATAATCCTAAGGGGTTCATACTTCTTTCACCTAGGTCAACGGGATACCAATTCAACTATCATGCAATATATAAGACTCATACAACCTACGAACGATACCCGAAATATTAAACTAGACATAGGCACGATAGACGGAGTCCGTTAGGACACCACGGGGATCGGGGAAACATCAAACGGGGAAGCCAAAATCCCAAAGTGGGTTTCAAACCAGCGGGTAGCCGGTGGGTGAGGGATCACCCGCCGGCGGTAGCAAATCCGGGCAGCGGGTACCCGGCCGGCAGCTGCCCGCCCGCCGGCGTTGCCCAAGAAGGCCGCGGGTAGGTGGCGGGTCCCCTACCCCCACCTACCCCCCACTGACTCTTTCATCACAAAAACGCCCCGGGACCCTTTGTGGAACCCGAAACCATGCTTAGACACTTTCAAACGCAATTGATAACACACGTAGACAATTAACGGATCAAAATCAAGAAACATACGGCACATAACCTATCATGCTTTTCTAAACATAATCGACACCCAATCATGCGAATTCCCACCCCATATACCAAGAATGATATCATACGATACAACCTAGGGTTCTAATCACTTTTAATTCAACAAGGACACAATTCATCTTCTAACATCAAGATTCGGTAAGAATATCACATAAACATCAAGAACATCTTACAACTATCAAGAACATCATATAATCATCAAGAACGTCATATAATTATCAAGAACGTTATATAATTATCAAGGACACCATAATTATCAAGAACCTCTCATCATCAAGATCACCCATGGAATTATCCCATCAATCATCAATAATAATATCACAAATCATCAATACACAATAATATGGGGAAATCCTACGGGGGAAATCATAGCTATGAAAATAGGTTTTGTTGAGACATGGGTTACCTCTTAGCCTTAATTAATTCCTTGGCTATGAAGGGTCTTTCTTTAAGCTTTCTTGCTTTCTTGATTTTTTCTAAGGGAATTCTTGGAGCTCTTTGGGGTGGTGAGTCGTTTATTGTGGTGGGGGGTTCTAGGTGCCTCTTAAGTCCCCTATTTATATATTTAGGAGTCCTGGTTAGGAACTAATATTATGGGCTTGCTAATTCTATTCCTTTTGGAACTAAGGGTTGGGTTTAGGGATAAGGGCCCATGGATTATGGTGGGCATTTCCTAATTAATTATTGTGATTTAATTCCTTCTTTTGGGTAATTTGTTAAATGATTAATTGGTTTTAGGGATCGTAACACGGGGTGTTACACTCTCCCCTCCTTACGAGGGGCTTCGTCCTCGAAGCCCGGTGTGTTAATCCATTCTTTCACCCCTAGGCATCCCGCATCTTGGCCTCCTGGTTAGGAATGTGGCCCCACGTTTTGCCTTAGCTGGGGTAGACTGGATTTCTGGTGGTGTTGTGATAGAAAGTTTTTGGGTCTACCTCGGTCTCCTGCTCCAGAGCTGGGCGCCCCGCGAGTGCCCAAGGTGGCCTCGATTGCTGCCACCCTCTGATCTAGTGCGCGAGTCGTACGGATCAAGGATGAGAACCCTTCCTCCATGATTTGGTTTTGCCGGTTGAGCTGTGCAAGTATGCGTTCATTCATTGAGCCCTCGTTTTGCTCCCTCGGGTTCCCTCCTGATCGTAGTTGCACCGACGGGTTGGGTTCGTCATCCTCCTCCTGGTCCTCATTTCCCTCCAGGATTCCACAATCTTGCATTGCCCGTTTGAGCTTCTTGTTGGAGATGTCTAATTGGTCGACCAATTCTCTTCGTTCATCCTCGGGTTTTTGGCAAATTTCTTCGAGGGTGAGGTAATGTCCTCCCTCGGTGAAGTAGATATCATTGCGGCGTAGGTTCTGGGTGTTAAAGGTCATGCCATTTGCGGTCTTGACCTCGATGTGGCTTAGGTCCACCCCCTTTTTCTCCATGATCCAACTTATGATCATCCCGTAGGGTAAGCTAAGTCGGTTGCTTGATTTGCAAAACTCCATGTGTTTTAGCATGAGGGCCGGCAGGTTGAACTTGATTTTGTGTTTCAAGAAGTAGGCAAAGGTGCACTCTAAACTCCCCACGTCCTTGCTCTTATTGTTTGTGGGCAAGAGGCTATCGGTCACAATCATAACCAATATCTTTTGCTCAGCCGATAGCCACTTCCTATTAGGTCGTGTGGCCGAGGTGAATCCTTCCTCCTTCCCAAGTAGGTACCCGAGGTAGTCCTTGTACCCCGTATTTTGGGTATCAATCCACCCCTTTCGGTCGTAGTTTGACACACCCGTGGTGGTCAATTTCAAGAGCTTGGCCAAGCGGCCTTCGGAGAGTATAATTTCCTTACCACGAACCTTGGTGGCGATTTCTAGCTTATCACCCCGTTTTGTGGCCACTAGATGTTGATAGAATTCCTTCACCAATTCGGGGTACGTATCCCCCTTGATGGTGAGATACGTATCCAAAAGCCCTTGGTGGTTAAGCATATCAACCAATTCCGGAGAAAATTGGTCGGGTTCCAGGGCTTTACCTCCTATCACGGTGTAGCCGGCGTTGCTCCATTCCGGGGTACGAGTTCCGGGGGGTTTCTTCGGCATTTTGACACTTTTTCCGGCGACTTTTTCCGACGTGATTTTCCGGCGAGCGGTTTTCCCCGTTGGCGAGGGCGGCGACGGCGGACTGAGTCCGGGTGACGGCTCGGTGGGGGGGGGGGGTGATGGCGTTGGGGTGGCGCTGGGTGGTGTGCGGCAGCGGGTAGCGCCCAGGTGGGCGGCGGGCGGTGGTTGGCGTCGCGGTTTCCTTCCGGCGGCAGCGGCGGCGTGCGGCAGTTACGACCTGGGCGGCCGGTCGTGGCTTGGTCGCTGGTGATTCGTGGGTTCCGGCGTGGGGGTGGTCGGACGAGAGGGAGAGAAAGGAAGAGGGGAGGGAGAGAGAGAGGGTGTGGAAGAAGAAGAAGAGGAAGGGTTTTTGATTTGGGGATTTTTGTGGGTTTAGGGACTTGTAGGGTTTTAAGAAGAAACTGTTCCCTTGAGGTTTCAAGAAACACTCCTAGCCTAGTGGTCAAGAACTTGGTCTTGTATATGGGAGGTCAAGGGTTCAATTCCTATTGGTAACATTAGGCTTTTCTTGATGGTGTGGTCCCTGTCTTTTTCCCTCTTTTGTCTTTTAGTGATGGGAGGCTTGGCTTGTTATATAGTTTGTGGTTTCGTCTTTGTAAGCAGGATCGAATTTTTAATTGAATCTTTTATTTATAAAATTCCGAAGTAATCGCTAAATAAGTAGTTTACTATGAAGGTGATTACAAGGAATTGCCGGTTCATCCTAGACAGAATTCGTCTTCTTGATTTTCTCCTGCGGGGTTTGCTTGGTCCTCGTCTTCTGGGGTTAGGTTCCCCTCCTCGAGGTTGCTCTTGTTCCCGATGTCGGCTTGAGTGCGGCTCATGACGAATATTTTCCCGGGAGCGCCGTAGTTCCCTTGGTGGGCGGTGCCTCCGTGTTGACCTGTGGTGGTGGGGCGTGACCTTTGGGGTTGGACGCACTGGAAGGCTTTGTGCCCTTCTTCTCCGCAGTTGAAGCATCGCCAGGGATTGCCCATGCAATCTTTCCCTCTATGGCTTTTGTTGCATTTTGGGCAAGGGAAGCTCCTTGGGTTTGCTTCATTGTTCCCTAGGGACGGTCTTTGGTTGGTCAGGTTGCTTGGTCTTGTGTTGGTGTCGTTCCTTGTTCTTTTTACCGGTGGTGCTCCCCCTCCGGTGTTCCTTTTTCGTATCTGTTCCTGAACCCCGCGCTGGAGTAGTTGGATCCGATAGAGATTGGCGGCACTGGAGTAAGCCTCGTTTAGTGTCCGAGGTCTGCTTACCACTAGTGCTTTCCGGGCTTCAAAGTTGAGGCCCGAGACGAATCTCTCTATTTTGGTTACTTCGGTGGGGACTAGCTCTGGCGCGAAGCGCGCTAGTTCGAGGAATCACTTGTGGTATTCCATGACGGTGGCTGTTCCTTGTTTTAGATGGAGGAATTCTTCGTACATGGATGCCTTTACGTGTGTTGGGTAGAATCGTTCTCGTAGTCGTGTTTTGAGGTTTTCCCAATTGAATCCTGGTTCTTGTTGGTAAGCGGGACCCTCGTGGATCCACCAAAGATCGGCTTCGTGTCCGAAGTAGAACGAGGCTATCTCTACGCGACGTTCTTCTGGGCATTCCACTAACCCGAGGATTTTGTCGAGGGTCCGGTTCCATTCCTCCAGGATCACGGGGTCCTCTTCTCCTGAGAACGTGGGTGGTCGATGATTTGAAACTTGTCGGGCGACGTCTGAGTTCGTGTTTGATGGAGGAGGCGGGGGCCTGTTGTTGCGAAGAGCTACGTCGCTTAGTGCCTGGGCGACTTGCGTTAGTTGTTGTAGTGTTTGGGTCAGGGGGTCGTGTGTGGTGGGTTCCGGAGTCCTTGATTGTCTTCGGTTGGGTGCCATGCTGTCGTCTTTCTGAGTCAATGTTTATAAGAACATCAAATTAGAGCTTGACGTCTTTCTTTGACGGGATAAGCGGAGGAAGGTTTTCTTTAGGCAAGGAAGGAATGAAGTGAGGGGGTTTATATGTAGGTTTCACAATCTCACCGCGCGTCCTAAAATTCCCGCGTCCTATGTTTCTAAATACCTAGAGTTCAAGCCTAATGGCCTAAAGTCCGGTTTTAAGAGTCTTATCCTAGGGTCAAACTTAGGCTATGATACCAACTGTAACACCACAAATTTTCAAGATATTTAAAACTTATAAAATAAAGGCGAAATCTCATTAAATCCCAAAACGTAATACAAGAGTACGGGGTGCTATGCCACACCTGAGCTAGAGAACTCAGGTGCACAGGCTAACTAACTAATATCCTCGATAATGTAAATGCATAAGCATGGCACGCAGGTCGAAAGGGAAACTATCTACGTCTATGCTCCAATTTCTAGCGCGCTCCAGTGACTTATTCTTCTGTGCCTGAAAGCCAAATATATCTGTTCAGCGAGAGATGCTGGTAACCCACTCCAACGCGTTGAAATACAATACATATAGATATATATAGATATACGAAAACCATTTTGAACATGAAGATATATCCTACGAACTCTAGCTTTTAAAACAGGGATAGACTCATCAGATAGGGCTAAGCACAGACAGCAGTTAAACCAACATATACAGTTACAAACATGCAAGACAGGTAAAGATAAGCAGAATTAATGATCATAACCCAACACATGCGATTCCCAGTGTAAATCCCTTAGTCACATCCCCAAGATAATCATAACAACAACTCATCCGTATTTCATCACATAGCACACTTTGTTGGCGCCACAGGACCAATCGCATGCCCATACATGAGGGTCAGCGCATATAGCTCTGACACGGCCCCGCAGCACCCTGCCCCGTATCGCATCACGGAGGGGTCGATCGCAACCGACCGATGAACCGCAGCTCATCATAGTTTGATCGCAACCAAACAGTGGACCGCAGCCCAAGAGTATGTCATCTGACCGCAGCCAGGAAATATGAACCGCAGCTCATGTAGAAACGTTTGATCGCAACCAAACGGTGGACCGCAGCCCGAGAGTGTAAATCTGACCGCAGCCAGCTTCTGAACCACAGCTCAGGAATAACCAATCCGATCGCAACCGAATTGGGGTATCATGCACACATAACACATTGCAAGCACATGCAACCCACATTAACACATTGGGAAGGGGGAGAAAACGTATAACAAAACCTATGCGTGATCCTTCACATACTAAGAATAATCCTAAGGGGTTCATACTTCTTTCACCTAGGTCAACGGGATACCAATTCAACTAGCATGCAATATATAAGACTCATACAACCTACGAACGGTACCCGACATATTAAACTAGACATAGGCACGATAGACGGAGTCCGTTAGGACACCACGGGGGTCGGGGAAACATCAAACGGGGAAGCCAAAATCCCAAAGTGGGGTTCAAACCAGCGGGTAGCCGGTGGGTGAGGGATCACCCGCCGGCTGCCCGCCGGCGGTAGCAAATCCGGGCAGCGGGTACCCGGCGGGCAGCTACCCGCCCGCCGGCGTTGCCCAAGAAGGCCGCGGGTAGGTGGCGGGTCCCCTACCCCCACCTACCCCCCACTGACTCTTTCATCACAAAAACGCCCCGGGACCCTTTGTGGAACCCGAAACCATGCTTAGACACTTTCAAACGCAATTGATAACACACGTAGACAATTAACGGATCAAAATCAAGAAACATACGGCACATAACCTATCATGCTTTTCTAAACATAATCGACACCCAATCATGCTAATTCCCACCCCATATACCAAGAATGATATCATACGATACAACCTAGGGTTCTAATCACTTTTAAATCAACAAGGACACAATTCATCTTCTAACATCAAGATTCGGTAAGAATATCACATAAACATCAAGAACATCTTACAACTATCAAGAACATCATATAATCATCAAGAACGTCATATAATTATCAAGAACGTTATATAATTATCAAGGACACCATAATTATCAAGAACCTCTCATCATCAAGATCACCCATGGAATTATCCCATCAATCATCAATAATAATATCACAAATCATCAATACACAATAATATGGGGAAATCCTACGGGGGAAATCATAGCTATGAAAATAGGTTTTGTTGAGACATGGGTTACCTCTTAGCCTTAATTAATTCCTTGGCTATGAAGGGTCTTTCTTTAAGCTTTCTTGCTTTCTTGATTTCTTCTAAGGGAATTCTTGGAGCTCTTTGGGGTGGTGAGTCGTTTATTGTGGTGGGGGGGGGGGGGGGGGGGGGGTTCTAGGTGCCTCTTAAGTCCCCTATTTATATATTTAGGAGTCCTGGTTAGGAACTAATATTATGGGCTTGCTAATTCTATTCCTTTTGGAACTAAGGGTTGGGTTTAGGGATAAGGGCCCATGAACTATGGTGGGCCTTTCCTAATTAATTATTGTGATTTAATTCCTTCTTTTGGGTAATTTGTTAAATGATTAATTGGTTTTAGGCATCGTAACACGGGGTGTTACACCCGCGCCGGCACCTGACGAGTCGGCCCTGGTCGAGAGGCTGCAGAGAAGAATCGAGGAGTTAGCAAGAAGGGTGGAGGCACGGGAGCAGTCGCCGGAACCCGAGGTACGGATGACAGCACCATTCTCCCCAAGCATCATGTACGTACCTTTGCCGAGGGACTTTAGGTTGCCCGCCATCAAGGAGTACACGGGGGTCGCTGACCCACGTGTCCACATGACGAGGTACAGGGCTGCTATGGTAATGATCGGGGCAGGGGACGCCATCATGTGCCGAGCATTCTTGTCCACCCTGGATGGAGCGGCCCAAGACTGGTTCAACACCATCCCAGATGGGTCGATCCAAAAATTTTGGGAGTTGTCCAAGAGCTTCCTGACATACTTCTCCGGTAGCATACAGCGTAAGAAACCCTTCTCTCACCTCTGTGTAGTGAAGCAAGATAGAGGCGATAGCCTCAAAGACTTCCTGATAAAATGAAAAAGGAAGTTATAATGTCTACGACTTCGACTCCAAGGCGGAGATCCCGATATTTATCCATGTCTTAAGATCAGGGTATTTCCACAAGCAGCTGAACGCCCACCACCCCCCCTTTTACGAAGATCTGATAAGGACGGCTAGCCGCTATGCCGAAGCAGAGGACGTCGACAGGAAGAAGAAGGACGAAGAGGATGGTAGGAAAGGTGGGAAGCCTGGGAAAGCGGGTCCGTCCAGCCAGGCACCACTCTCGAACCACCCGACCGCAGGGAAAGGCCGAGACCACGAACGACCTCGCCTGGTCCCCTTGCATAATTTAACTCCTCTTACCCATCCCGTGAGTGTCATTCTAAAGCAAGCTGAGGAGATGGGAATGGTAGAATTCCCCGAGGAGTGCATGAAGGTCTCCCCGGAGGCGGACCAAACTAAGTACTGCAGGTTTCATAGGCAAATCGGCCACGATAGGGATGAGTGTCACGTTTTGAAGAGACAAATAGAAGAACTCATCCAGCGGGGCTACGTCCGACATTTCGTCAAGCGATCCAAGTAGCAGCAACAGCCGCAACACAATCCACCAAAAAATGTCTGGAGGAATGAGGATGGCACAGAGCCGTCCACCTCGAACGCCAAAAAAAGAGAACACGACCAAATATCTGAGCAGAATGATAGCGAGAAAGAAATCGAGGTGGCGCCCAGACGATAAAAGAAGCACACCATACACTTTATCTATGGTGGACCCGCAGGGGGTGACACGCCTGCGGAGAGAAAGAAGTGGAGCCGGCAGCTATACGTGGGAGAAGTGGTGAGTCTTCCTAGAGAAGAGAAACAGAGACAGGAGGTCATCACTTTCTCTAATGGTGACCTCCCAGAGGGCCCGTTACCCCATCATGACGCCTTGGTGATTGAGATGGACGTCAACAATGTCATTGTCCGCCGCATCTTAGTCGACACGGGAAGCTCAGTCAATGTGATGTATTACGATGCCTTCACCAAGTTAGGGATACCTAGGAACAAGCTCAAAGAAGTACGTACCCCACTCTCTGGATTTACGGGTGATTCAGTGGAGACGGAGGGGTTAGTGGTCTTACCAGTGGAGATAGGCACGAGCCATAACATTCGCAAACTTGACGTGGAATTCATCATGGTAAGACTCACTTGTGTGCACAAAATCATTTTGGGGAGACTGGCACTGGAGGACCTCAAGGCCATAGTGTCGGTGGAACACTTGTGTATGAAGTTCCCTACTCCGAGTGGGATAGGAGTCGTCAGAGGAGACCAGCGAGCAGCACACAGTTGTTACGTAAAAGCATGCAAAAAGATTGGCGGAAAGGACCTACAAGTCCACACCATCTGCAAGGATGATCGATCGGGTATGGAACTCAGAACATTTAATTAGATATTATAGGTAATATTTTGTAGTTGTGGTCCGCCCAGACCTGTAAACAATATTTTGTAATCATGGTCTGTCCAGGTTACTTTGCTCAAATAAAAGGTTCTCAGCACCACCTTCGATCAACCAAAAGCCGGCCGACGCCGCATTGTAAAAAAAAAAAAAATAAAAAAAAAATAAAACAAGGCCGAGGCGCACGCCTCGGCCCAAGGCACGACTGAGGCGGCGCCTCAAGCCGAGCCGCAAAAAGGCCTGAGGCGACGCCTCGTCCAAACCCGGCTAAGGCGACGCCTCAGCCGAAAAAA